GACCTGCCGCCCGAGCACCCTTCCGTGCCCGAGTTCCCGACGAGGGTCAGCCTGGCGCGGCTGCTGATGGAGACGGAGATGGAGGAGCAGGCGCTCGGGGTGCTGGAGCGGCTGGTCACGGACGACGATTCCAGCGTCGAGGTGTGGTATCTGGGGGGCTGGTGCTTGTATGTCGCGGGCGAGAAGCTGCGCGAGGCCAAGCCCCAGCAGAACGGCGAGGGGGAGGCTGCTGAGAAGGAGTGGAAGGCGACGTGGGGGTATGCGCGGAAGTGGCTGTCCCAGTCGCTGAAGCTGTATGAGATGCAGGAGTATGAGGACGAGAGGCTGGGCGAGCATGCGAGGGAGTTGCTGGAGAGCATTAACGGGGTGCTTGGGGAGCCGCCGGAGGGGGAGGATGATGATGAGTGGTCTGGGATCAGCGATGATGATGATGAGGATGTTGAGGATGAGGACGATGAGGAGCATGAGCATGGTGAGCACTGCGATCACGATCATGAGATGCATGATTAGAGTGGACATGGATTTGATGGCGTTGCATGGGTGCAAAAAAAGAACGACTTGTTTTTGTAAATGAATTGGCTTTGTAAAGGAATTGTGGTTAATGGGATGCAGTTGATAACTACCTTTGACGAATACACTACCTAGATCCGACGAATCTAACCTCTCGTCATCTGGTATAAAGCTCTTGTTCTTGCGACAAGTCCCCAAAGTGTAAAGTCATAAACGCAGCAAAGGAAAAAACTCCATATATGTGATATATACCCAATAGCGTTGCCCTTCCCAACTCACACAGCCTCAACCTTGAGCTGCTCAACCCCATCCGCAAGCCCCTCCTCCTCATCCTCCTCCTCGCCCTTCCCAGCCAAGCCCCTCTCCCAGAGCTGCCTCCCCGTCAGCCTCACCGGCTCCTTGATCCTCGCCTTCTTCATCTCCGCCAACCGCTCCTCCTCCTCGCGCACCCTCTTCTCCTCCATCTCCCTGAGGAAGCCCTCGCGCCACTTCATAAACGTCTCGGGCGTGACGGGCGTCCCGTGGAACTTTTTGTTCTCCTCCCTCTCGGCGGCGAGCCGCTCCTCCTCGAGGGCCCGCTGGGCGGCGTCCTTGCGGTCCTGGACGAGCTGCTCGGCGGCTTCCTTGAGGGACGAGTAGAGCGTGAAGACCATGGCCATGCCGAGGTTCTCGGTGATTGTGTCGGCGACGTCGGCGAGCAGCTTGTCGCGGTCTTCGCTGACGTTGAAGTAGGCGTGCGGCGGGCTGGAGGGGGAGGAGAGGATGTCGAGGTGCGGCGGCGCGTCGGGGTAGTCTTCTGGGTAGCGGACGGAGAGGAGGAAGTGCGGGGGTTCGTGGGTTTCGTCTTGGTCTTCGCCGGGGATGTCGAGGGTGACTTTTATTCTGAATTCGGTTTCGGAGATGTCTTGTTTTGCGGTTGGTGCGATTAGCGGAAGGGTCAGGGGGAGGAGGGATTCGTTGCTTTTTGGTGATGGCTTGTCGATTTTGACTTCTTTGATATTGCCGATGGACAGACAAGAGGGGGGAAGGGAATGTATGTACCTGTGATTTCGTCGGGAAAGATGGATTCGAGCACTTCACGCTCTTCGACCTGCTCTTCGCGACCCATTGCGGCGGTTTGGGGGGGGGGGGGTGTTGAAGTTGTTCTTTTTTGGTTTGGTAGGTATTATGCGATGGTGTTTGAGATGTCGATGATGGATGGAGCTTTTTTGGCGGTTTAGTTTTGGGTGGGGTTGAAGAGGGAAAGGCTGCTACATAGATGGTATGGCGGGG